CTCACCCCATTATTATTAACAATTTAAAACAGACCTAAATTTATATTTGGTATTTCTCCATTCAGCAGTCGTTGTTTTAGCAGTTTTTTTGAAGTTTCATTAAAAATGAGGCTCTTCTCTACGCCAATGACATTATTTATAACATACGCCGCCAAGTAGGAAAATGAAGACTTAAAACATACCAGGTTATGCCGTGGTATGTCAGCTGAAAAACACACATTTCTTAAGTTTTTATTGTGGATAGTTGATCGCAGCACTATTTTGTTAATCAAATAAGAAGGTGCTGATGTGTGCAACACTTTGGAAACAATTGAGACGTAATGAATGAAGCGTCGTTCACCTGACTTCAGCCAATTTAGTTGTCTAATGAAGGGGGTCACATGAGCAAAACGTGGAACAGTTAATGTATAGCGGGTACAAAAATTTTGAATTTTCTGTAGCCGATATTTTTGCAGCTGAGATAGACAAGGGCCGTATACTGTGTCAGCATAATTTAAATGAGATAAAATCAAAGCATCTGACAGCCGCTTTTTAGATTTAGTATCCAGATAAAACCTGTAAGGACTTATTTGCTTGAAACATAAAAAGGTTTTTTTGCAAATGTGATTGACATGTTCCACAAACTTTAGTTGGCTATCAAGCATAACTCCCAGACTCTTAACCACAGAGGAACTTTTCAGGACATGATTGTTTACTTTTAATTCAACACGATTTCTACATTGAAGAAGCTTTGTAGGCATACCAAACAGAATCGTTTCACATTTACTGTGATTGAGTTGCAAGCAGTTGTTTACGCACCATTGCTGTACATGTTCTAGATCTCTATTTATAAGGTTAGCACACGCTTCAGTTTCTTCAGGATTAAAAGTAAGATAAAGTTGTACATCATCTGCATACATGTGTACACAGCAATGTTTAATAACTTTTACTAAGTCGGCAGAATATAAAGAAAAGAGAAGAGGTCCAAGTACCGACCCTTGGGGAACCCCGGAACTTAAAGCCATCATATTTGATTTCTGACCATTACAGTCAACTAACTGAGCACGATTAAATAAATAATTCTGGAACCAATTCAAGGTGGCTCCATACACTCCATAATACTTAAGTTTGGTAACCAACAGAGATATTATATATATTATATATATTATATATTATATATATTATATATTATATTATATATATTTCACATTACTCATTTGATATTTCACATTTATCATTTCTCACTTCGTGTCATTTCTTATTTCATAATTTACATTTCTCATTTTTCATTTTTTCTCATTATTCATTTCCCTTTTCTCATTTTTCATTTAACATATCTCATTTTCACTTCGTGTCATATTTCACATTTCTCATTTCTCACAACGTATCATTTCCCATTTCATAATTCATATTTCTCATTTTTCAGTTATTATTCATTTTTCAGTTCTCATTTCACATTTCCCATTTTTCATTTCTCATTAACATATCTCATTTTCACTTCGTGTCATATTTCACATTTCTCATTTCTCACATCGTGTCATTTCTCATTTCATAATTCATATTTCTCATTTTTCATTCCTTCTCATTGTATCTTTCTCGTTTCTCATGTTTCTCATTTCATATTTCTCATTTTTCATTTATTATTCCTTTCCCAGTTCTCATTTCTCATCTCATATTTCACGTTACTCATTTGATATTTCACATTTATCATTTCTCACTTCGTGTCATTTCTCATTTCATAATTTACATTTCTCATTTTTCATTTTTTCTCATTATTCATTTCCCATTTCTCATTTCTCATTTAACATATCTCATTTTCACTTCGTGTCATATTTCACATTTCTCATTTTTACCAATGTATCATTTCCCATTTCATAATTCATATTTCTCATTTTTCATTTATTATTCATTTCTCAGTTCTCATCTCACATTTCTCATTTCTCACATCGTGTCATTTCTCATTTCATAATTCATATTTCTCATTTTTCATTCCTTCTCACTGTATCTTTCTCATTTCTCACATTTCTCACCATCCTAATTTCTCATATTTCTCATTTTTCATTTATTATTCATTTCTCATTTCTCACTTCGTGTTATTTCTCATTTCATAATTTACATTTCTCATTTTTCATTTTTTCTCATTATTTATTTCCCATTTCTCATTTCATATTTCACATTACTCATTCGATATTTCACATTTATCATTTCTCACTTCATAATTTACATTTCTCATTTTTCATTTTTTCTCATTATTCATTTCCCATTTCTCATTTTTCATTTATTATTCATTTCTCAGTTCTCATTTCACATTTCCCATTTCTCAATTAACATATCTCATTTTCACTTCGTGTCATATTTCACATTTCTCATTTCTCACAACGTGTCATTTCCCATTTCATAAGTCATATTTCTCATTTTTCATTTATTATTCATTTCTCAGTTCTCATTTCACATTTCTCATTTCTCACATCGTATCATTTTTCATTTCATAATTCATATTTCTCATTTTTCATTCCTTCTCACTGTATCTTTCTCATTTCTCACGTTTCTCACCATCCTAATTTCTCATATTTCCCATTTTTCATTTATTATTATTATCTCATTTCTTCTTATTTCATATTTCTTACATTTCACATTGCTAATTTTTCATTTATTATTCATTTCCCAGCTCTCATTTCATATTTCACATTTCTCATTTCTCACTTCGTGTCATTTCTCACTTCATAATTCATATTTCTCATTTTTCATTTATTATTCATTTCTCAGTTCTCATTTCACATTTCTCATTTCTCACATCGTGTCATTTCTCATTTCATAATTCATATTTCTCATTTTTCATTCCTTCTCACTGTATCTTTCTCATTTCTCACATTTCTCACCATCCTAATTTCTCATATTTCCCATTTTTCATTTATTATTATTATTATCTCATTTCTTCTTATTTCATATTTCTTACATTTCACATTGCTAATTTTTCATTTATTATTCATTTCCCAGCTCTCATTTCATATTTCACATTTCTCATTTCTCACTTCGTGTCATTTCTCATTTCATAATTCATATTTCTCATTTTTCATTTCTTCTCATTATTCATTTCCCATTTCTCATTTCTCATTTCACATATCTGATGTCTCATTTCGTGTCATTTTTCATTTCTGCTCATTTCATCTTTCTCATTTCTCACATTTGTCATTTCTAACATTTCTCATCATCCTAACATCTCGTATTTCTCATTTATCGTTTATTATTCATTTCTCAGTTCTTATTTCTCATTTCATATTTCATATTTCACATTTGTTATTTCTCTCTTCGTGTCATTTCTCATTTCATAATTCATATATACATTTTTCATTTCTTCTCATTTCATCTTTCTCATTTCTCACCATCCTAATTTCTCATATTTCTTATTTCTCGTTTCATATTGCACATTTCTCATTTCTCACTTCGTGTCGTGTCTCATTTTTCATTTCCTATTTCACATATCTCATTCCTCATTTCGTGTCATTTTTCATTTCTTCTCATTTCCTCTTTCTCATTTCTCACATTCGTCGTTTCTCACATTTCTCATCATCCTAATTTCTCATATTTCTCATTTATCATTTCTTCCCATTTCTCCTATTTCTCATTTCCCATATTTTTCATTACTCATTGCCCACATTTCTCATTTCACATATCTCATTTTCACTTCGTGTCATTTCTCTTCTTATTTCATATTTCTTATTAGAATATTTATTTCAGAGAGTTTTCATTTGTCATTTTTCACCAGTATTATCTGTTATTTCTCATTTCTCACATTTCTCATTTCATATTTCTCATTTTTCATTTATTATTTATTTCCCAGTTCTTATTTCTCATTTCATAATTCATATTTTTCTTTTTGATTTCTTCTCATTATTCATTTCCCATTTCTCATTTCTTCTCATTTCTCACATTTCTCATTTCATATTTCTCATTTTTCGTTTTCCTCATTACACATATCGCATTTCTCACCTAGTGTTACTTGTCATTTCATCTCTCTCATTTCTCAGATTTGTTGTTTCTCATATTTTTTACTTCTTCTGATTCCTCACATTTCTCGTTTCATGACTCAATTTCTCATTCCACATTCCTCATTCATCATTTCTTATTTCATAATTCTCACATTTTTCATTTACAATTTCCTATTTTATATTTTTCATTTCATAATCCATATTTCTCAATCCAGACATTTCTCGCATTTTTCATGTATCATTTCATCTTTCTTCTCATTTCTTACTTCACATCTGAATTTCTCATTTCGCATTTCCCATTTCGCTTCACATTCTACATTTCCCATTTCCAGTTTCGTAGCTGGCATTTCGCATTTCACATTTTACATTTCGGATTTCACATTCTCGATTTCTCATTTCTCATTTTGCACTCCGCATTTCCCATTTCGCAGTTCGAAGTTCTCATTACGCATTTTCTATTTCCCATTTCGCTGCGCATTCCACATTTCACTTTTCGCATTTCTCGTTTCTTATAAATCATTTCTTATTTCGCATTGATCATTTCTCATTACTCATTTTACATTTCGCATTTCAGAGTTCTCATTTTTCATTTCTCATTGCCCACTTGCATTACTCGCAAATTTAACGTTTTATTCAATAATTTGTGATATCTGTCATTTTTGATATTATGTACATAATACATATACACTCTCAGGGATATAACCCCAACTGTATTGTTGGTTGCCTAAAGCAAATTTGCAGCTATCTTTACAATTGTATTACAGGCTTGTCAACTTTAAGGTAGCAGGCTTGCCAACTTTAAGGTAGCTTCAACAACTCCTACAGATATTTAGACAACGCTGTCTAAATTTTCCAATTTTTCCTTCAACTGATTGTTTCCTAGCAGTATAAACATTCAATAAACGCAACACCTTCAGTTTCGAAAACTTAATGCACAAAAAACAAACATAACCTGGAATTTAGTTACTCTTCAAGTTAATCCTTGATTGAAAAATAATCATAGTTACAATGGCACCCGTTACCAAACCAACCAGACCATTATAAAAACAAAAAAATCAACACACCTTGTTTGTCAATTTTCCGAAAGTCATTTCTTCCGTCAATTTTTTTCTGTTGCTTTGTTACAACAATCACATAATGGACCTTGAAGATGCCGATCCCGTCGAAGACTTGTCTATTAAGCAAAGACAAGTCATCGTCGAAAGAAACTTGAGCTTCAACGAAACCACCAAAAAGTGGCATTGGTCTCCACCTAGGACAATAGAATACCACAGGCGTGACCACCGGGAGACTCTAGACCTGCTGAAGAAACTAATTCAGTGCCCGGGTAAGTAGCACATGCGCAGAAACATTTTACAGTAACACCCTGTCTACCAGACCTGCAAGGCCAGAAGTATCCACTCTCCAGAAAACCGCCCCATGGAACCGATAAAAGGGTTCCGCTGCCTAAAACCGTCAAGAACGAAGTCACACAAGAGAACATCAAACTCATTGGAGAACTGCTTGAAAGTGGAGGTGAGTTTAAAATTTGACAGATGACGTAAATGTGATTAAATCAAGTTGGCGCCACATTCGACGCACTCGTACCAACTTTGACCCGTTCTAATTTATAGTTTTTCAAGCGTGAAAACGGCACTACCATTTACTAATTTGTATTTGTTCAACTTGAACTACTTGCTTAGACCTCCAAGTGGAACACATTGCTCCCCTACGACCCATGCCCAAACCCTTACCCCTAGCCCTCAACTCCCTAAAAACTGACTCTGGTGTCGAATCCATGTTCTCGTTCGGCAGCACCCTAGACCCCAAACCCCCCAAATTCGAACTCATGGAAACCTACCTCACACCCAACAAAAACAACAAAAAGTGGGTCAAAGCCAAACTTATCCACGTCGGCGAAAACGTCGTCCACCTCGCCGACAACCAAACCTTCAACGACATAATAACCACCAAAAAAAACATAGCCTACCCTGAACCACCCACCCGAGTCCTAGAGGTTGGCAGCCGTGTCGTGGCTTTGAAAAAGCAACTGTCGACCACCGGCGAACTGTCACGAGGACGACGCAAGCACGAAAAGGGCGTGGTTATGGAATTTCCAACCAACCAGAACCTACACAGGTCTGTCGAAGTAACGACTCGGCGCGTGTAATGTCGCGATTGGTTGTAGATATTTGGTGGTTTTTGACGACGGCGACTGGGCTTACGTGAAGCCGGATGAAGTGTGGCTTCTGTGTTATCAAAGTCCGAGGGTTTGGGACGACGTACCTGAGGAAAATAAGCACATCGTGAGGTACTTTTTACACGGGTTGTACCAAGCAATAACGGACTTCGAAAAGGGTGATTTGGTCGTGTACGAAATGAAACCCAATGGTAAGTCACGTGGTTAGAATAACACGTTTTTTATGACACTTTTCAGATTACCAACATGGCGTCGTTATAAAAGTTGACGTTTCTATCTTGTACGTGTGGTTTTTTGAGTATTGTAAATGCATGGTTATTTATAAAGGTCTTGCAAGTTTTAGAGGTTGTTGACAGTTTGTTCTATTTTTAATAAATAATTTATTTTATTTGTGTTATTACGATTAAAATTAGTACATCGCCAGGAGACACTCTGTTATCACTTTCATATACTTTTCCCACAAAATTTTGAGTGCCGCTGAGTCTCTGCAAACACTAGTTCATAAAAATCCCTAGATTCAAACCACCTACCTTATAATGTCAATTTCGCAGCCACACTGTGTATACGCATTTAGAAAAACTTCCAACTCTGGTACAGTCCAATTTGCCTGTTTTAAACTATCCGAAAGCGAAGTCAGTTCGACAAACATATTTTTAACATCTCGAGGACGGTGCATATTTGTCGTAGGCAACAAAATCGCCCGATTATAGTTCTTAAAATTGGCATCCAAGTCCAGGTAGCATTTCTGCAAAAGCTTGGCTCTCAACAACACGCACACTAGACTGAAAACCCCCTTGAAATCATTCCACAATTAACAAAAATACAACCTACTGCTTGTGCTCTTTCTCTTTCTCTAACAAAATTTTAATCTCTCGTAACTCAGAGAAGAAGTCTTTGTCGTGTTCCGTATCGAAATTGTCAACACCTGCCAATTTGTTCGTCCAGTTGTCCATTATAGCCTCCGTACACCTCTTCCAACAAGAAAACGTGATATGATTTAGTTTCCGCTTGGTCTCAAAACGAATGCACGCTAGAAACACGATACAAGCGTATTTTTTCGCTATGTATTCAGGTAAGTAGAACAAATTTTGGATATTTTGGACCACCGGACCTGGCATGTCTTCCACCATCTTGTAAATTCGTTTAACATTGTCGAACTGGCGCCGGCACGACTTTAACGGAACGCCTGTCTTTTCAGACACTTCATCCAAGTCTTTTCTGTGTTTGCTGGAGAGTTTTTTTCCAATGAGCTCTCGGACGACGCTGTCGTCGAAATCGTAATACCTGTAACATTTTTTTAATTTAGAAAAGTGTCGTTGTGTGTAGTGCGTACTTCTCTATGAGTAGTTTTCGTGTCTGGGGCTCAATCTGAAACGCCAACTGTTCTTGGAGTTTGTTTGGGTTACTGAGGAGTTTTTCCAGAAGTGAGTAGGTGCGATAGTGGTCCAACACATCACTGGCTATCAGTTCAAGAGGGGCACCCGTCAGCTGCCCTAAGCCCCTCTGATTCAAAATCGAGACGGCTTCACTCGCTAGAATAGACTGTAAAAGGGGGCACTTTGAGGTTATGTTTGCGCGTTACCTGTGTGACCCTCCACCCACAGTTGATAGATTTCCGGGTCGACGAGAGTATAATTACTAATAAAGACATCGATTTCGGTCCCCATATACACTTATTTTTGAAATTTTAACGATTTTAGCAATTTGGTTCCAATTATGTCAGTGACAAGGCTACCAACTTTGCGTGTTGTGTTACATAAACAATATTATCGTTACAATTAGGAATTATTGGGATATGTATGAAACCAATTATAGCTGCTACGGCCACAACGAACCCCTTTAAAGACTTTCATCGCTGCAAAATCAACAAATACACATTACAGTGGTACCACTATCACTCCCCCTTCCCCCAGATTTCCTCGAGTCACCTGATCCTTTCTAACCTCACTTCCGCACAATTTATTAAACTTTGCCCTTAAACTACGTACTGAACACCAACATGAGTGACCCTAAGAAAGAATCAACCCCTAAAGAGGACAAAGTTGACGCCGAGCTTTCCAACCTACTAGACAGTAAGTCATGTAGTTCCTCTATTGCATAACCACCCCCTTCTCCCAGGTGCTCTGCAAGACTTCAACAAAGACTCGTCGAAAGAGGCGAAGCCCGACCCCGCTAAAGACGAGCTACCCGACGAGGCCTCCGTGGAATGGACCGAAGACTTCATCAAACAAGCCGCCTCTCAGTTCGAGCAAAACTTGGCAACTTTTCTCGGTTCTTCGTCCGACGGGACGCAGTTAACCAATGAGCAGCTGCAGCAGAAGTTCCAGCAGATGGCCGAAGCCGCGCAACAAGTAATCGAGAACCCCAATATTACGGAGAATTCGAACGATTTTGCGTCTACGATCTCGCAAACTATTCAGGGGTTGAACGCGGGGGCGGAAGGGCTGCAGAACCCGTTTTCGGAGCAGGATATGATGAATTTGTTCGGGGGGCAAGGGGACCAAAATGCCTTTTTACCGTTTATGCAAGGGATGATGCAGAGTTTGTTGTCGAAGGATGTGTTGTATCCGAGTTTGAAGGATATTTTAGATAAGTTTCCCGAGTGGCTGAGGACTAATAAGGATAGTTTGAGTAGGGAGGATGCGGAGAGGTTTGAGAATCAGAAGAAGTTGATGGAGGAGGTTTGTGCCGAGTTGGAGAAGGAGAAAGAGACGGATAGTGAAGAACAGAAGAAGGAGAGGTTTGAGAAGGTGTTAGGGTTGATGCAAAAGGTGGGTTTTGAGTTGAGGTTGTGGCTTGTTATTTGGTGGTTTAGTTGCAGGATTATGGACAGCCACCGACTGATTTAGTGGGGGATGTGGGGCCACCTTTACCTCTAGATGTGCAAAATAGTGCCGATCCTAACCAATGCAGTGTGATGTAATAGCGGATTAATCATAGTCTTGTTGTTTAATGTTTGTTGTTATTTATAATGATTCGGTTAAAAAATGGGAACATTTTTACTACTGCTGGGTGTAATAGTGTGATTTATTGCGGTACCTTATACGGGTGTTTGAAATGACGCCAAATCTGACATTGTAGTATTTTTTGAGTTTTTATGTTGGTATTTCATATCTAACCAAACATGAATTTATTAAATCGCTAAATAAAGGTACGAATTTATAACAAATTAAACCTGGAGGAGGAAAATTCAAGCATCAGAAAGGGCTGCTACCCCTGGGAGTACTTTCCCCTCGAGAAGTTCCAAACTAGCGCCACCTCCCGTCGAAACGTGTGAAACTTTATCTTTAGTCTTCCATTTTTTAGCACAGGTGGCTGTGTCTCCGCCACCTAAAAACCCATTTATGTTGTTAATACACGCAACATTTTTACTTTGATACCGATAATAGTGACAGCTCCACGTTGCGTGGCTGCAACGACTCCATCCATGACGGCTTTAGTCCCTTTGGAGAAGTCGTCCCACTCAAATACACCGGGTGGTCTAAAATGATTTAAAAAGTGATAAAACTAAAAATCTAGTGGGTGTGCTAACCCATTCCAAACTATCACTTGTGCTCTACCAATGGGTACTTTAAACGATTCGATGCTGTTGGGTCCTATATCCAAACCCATCCATCCGTCGGGAATCCCCGACGCAACATCAGCACAACCAACCTATAAGTTGCAACTGAAACGAAATAGGTTAGGATTGTGGACTCACCTCTGCACATTCCTCGAATTTGTCAGCGGTGATAAAATCACACGGAAGATGCATTTTGACGTCATTTTTCTCCGCCTTTGTCATTAAGTCGTTGACGATTTTAGCGCCAGCTTCGTCAAACATGGACTTGCCAATCTAAGAAACGATTTCTATTAAATATTATGTCGGAGTTTTAGTTTGACCAAGATCGACCTACGACTTATAATTAACTAAAATAAAAAAAATAATCCACAAATTTATTCTTCTTCTATTTTAAAAGTCTTGTTTTTTAGTGCTTACGCTAATTTTACATCAAATATATAATTTACAAATTTAAACTTAGAAATATTCAAGCATCAGACAGGGCCACCACTCCTGGCAGTTCTTTTCCTTCCAGAAGTTCCAAACTAGCGCCACCTCCTGTCGAAACGTGTGAAACTTTATCCTCAGTCTGCCACTTTGCAGCACACGTGGCCGTATCCCCACCACCTGAAAACCCACATAGTCGCACATTTCAAACCTCGTCGTTTTTACGTTTTACCAATTATGGTGACAGCGCCACGTTGTGTGGCTGCAACAACTTCATCCATGATGGCTTTGGTCCCTTTGGCGAAGTTGTCGAATTCGAACACACCGGCTGGGCTAAAATAACCCACGACATACTCATTGTTATTATTATTATTATTATTCACGTGACTAACCCATTCCACACGATCACTTTAGCCCTAGTGATGGGTTCTTTAAACGCTTCGATGGTCTTGGGTCCTACGTCAAGGCCCATCCAACCGTCAGGAATTCCAGACTCTAGAGAAGCGCTACCAACCTGAAAGTATTCTAGTGAAAAAAATGGTACGTTTGGGTTGTGTTAAACTTACAGCTGCAGCTTCATCGAATTTATCGGCTGTCACGAAATCACATGGTAGGTGGATCTTGACCTTGTTCTTTTCGGCTTTTGACATTAGGTCCTTGACGATTTTGGCCCCCTCATCGTCAAATAAGGAATTGCCGATCTAAAGAATGGCATGGTTTGTGCGTTAAAACGTGTGATTTGGTAAAAATCGACATCGATTTTATTTCATACATTATTAAACGAGCGAGTTTTAAAAGAAGGCGCTGTACAAAAAACACAAAATGGCGTCGTGTAATAGTTAAATATTGGTTATCAAATGTTGCCAACATAAACGTAAGTGTGGATTAGTATGGTGATCTTTTGCGACTTTACATACACTAAATCAACATAACCTAACTTTATGGTACTAGAAAAAAATTGTATGACGGAAAATTACTCAAAAATATGTCAGAAAGAATGTTCACAAAATAAATTTGTACAAAAATTTGTTCATGAAAGAAATTTTAATAAATATGTATGTTATTAATTTGCTTAAATTTTCATTAATATCTTTTAAAACTTTTGTATGGTAATTAAAATGAAAGTAACATTTATAATAAATATGCATATGCAACCAACTATACATGCAATTAATTGCACGTGAGAACACTGTGAACGAAGTTTGTAAAACTCTTGTTACATTTCTTCTAAGCATAATAATAAAAAATTGGTAGAAGGTTATTTCACAGAACTTCCCTCGCTCTTGAAGTAACGCCCAATAAATCCCGCTTATTTGCAAAATGATAAAATTTGATTTTGCTATTTTTTGGGTTTTACTTTATAAAAGTAAAAAACAAAAATCGCAAAATGTGTTTTTACTTTTATAAAGTAAAACCCAAAAAATAGCAAAATCGAAAGTTCGAAAATCTAAAAAATAGAAAAATCTTCCGAAAAGTCAAAAAATCGAAAAGCTGAAGAATGGAATTGAAAATTTGTGAAATCGAAAAGTACGACTAGACGATTGAAAATTCGAGTATCAAAAATCGAATACTCAAGAAATCGAAATACAAAGTAATTGAGAAATCGAAAAACTGAAGAATGAAAAAATTGAATAGAAAAAACTGAAGAGTGGAGAATTGAAAAATCTAAATTTCAAAAAATCGAGAATTGAAAAACTGAAAAATCGAAAAGAAAACAAATGAAAATTCGAATATCCAAAACCAAAAATTCCAAAATCTAAAAATCGTAAATTGAAAAGCCAAAAATTCAAATTTTCGAAAAACCGAAAAATCCAAATTTGAATATCGAAAAATGTAAAATTCGATGAATAAAATATTCGAAAAAAACGGAAATCTGAGAAATCGAAAAACCGAAAATTCGAAAATCTAAAAATCGTAAATCGAAAAAGCGAAAAATCAATAAATCCAAGAATCGAAATATAGAAAAAATGAAATATGTATAAGAATGAAAAAATTGAAAAGTAAAAACTGAAGAATAGAAAAATTGAAAAATCGAAAATTCAAAATATGTATCAAAAATCGAAGAATTGAAAAACTGAAAAACTAAGAAATCGAAAAGGAAACAAACTGAAAATTTGAATATCGAAAAATGGAAAATTCTAAAATCTAAAAATCGTAAATCGAAAAATCGAAAAATCAAAGAATCAAAATATCGAAAAAGTTAAATATCGAAAGTCTAAAATCGAAATTTGTAAAATTGAAAAAGTGAAATTAAAAAAAAAAATCGAATACTGAAAAATCGAAAAACCGAGAAATCCAAAAATCGAAACATCAAAAGATCGAAAAATCGAAAAATCGAGAAGTCAAGGAGTCGAGAAATCGGCAAATAGAAAAATCTAAACTTAAAACATCGAACAATCGAAAAATCTTCTGGAAAGTCAAAAAATCGAGAAGTAAAAAAACCAAAAATTCCGAAAAACTGAAGAATGGAATTGAAAATTTGAGAAATCGAAAAGTAAAAAAGTTTTAAATTTTAAAAACTGAAGAAAGTAAAAATTCCAAAAATTGGAAAACTGAAAAGTAAAAACTGAAGAATGAAAAAATTGAAAATTTGAAAATTCAAACAATCGAGAATTGTAAAACTGAAAAATCGAAAAATCTAAAAGGAACAAACTGAAAATTCGGATAACCAAAAACCAAAAATTCGAAAATCTAAAAATCGTAAATCGAAAAATCTTCTGGAAAGTCAAAAAATCGAAAACTAAAGAAACTAAAAAATCGGAAAAACTGAAAAATGGAATTAAAAATCTGAGAAATCGAAAAGTAAAAAAAAATTAATTCTAAAAACTGAAGAAAGTAAAAATTCAAAAATTGGAAATTCGAAAAATCAAAAGTCGAAAAGTACGACTAGACGATTGAAAATTCAAATATCGAAAATCGAATACTCGAGAAATCGAAATGTAAAGTAATTTCAAGAAATTGAAAAACTGAAGAATAAAAAACTGGAAAGTAAAAACTGAAGAATGAAAAAATTGAAAATTCGAAAATTCAAACAATCGAGAATTGAAAAACTATATCCAAAAACCAAAAATTTGAAAATCTAAAAATCGTAAATTAAAAAACAAAAAATCAAAAATTCGAAAACTGATTTTCGAAAAATCCAAGAATCGAAATATAAAAAAAATGAAATATGTATAAGACTAAAAAATTGAAAAGTAAAAAAAAAATTAAAAGTAAAAACTGAATAATGGAAAAATTGAAAAATCGAAAATTCAAAATACCAAAATCGAAGAATTGAAAAACTGAAAAATCGAGAAATCTAAAAGGAAACAAACTGAAAATTCTAATATCCAAAAACCAAAAATTTGAAAATCTAAAAATCGTCAATCGAAAAACCAAAAAATCAAAAATTCCAAAACTGATTTTCGAAAAATCCAAGAACCGAAATATCGAAAAAATTAAATATATATAAGAATGAAAAAATTTAAAAGTAATAAAGATTTAAAAGTAAAAACTGAAGAATGGAAAAATTAAGAAATCGAAAATTCAAAATATCAATCGAAGAATTGAAAAACTGAAAAATCGAGAAACCGAAAAGGAAACAAACTGAAAATTTGAATATCGAAAAATGGAAAATTCGATGAATGAAATATTCGAAAAACCGAAAATTCGAAAATCTAAAAATCGTAATTCGGAAAATCGAAAAATCCAAGAATTGAAATATTGAAAAAATGAAATATGTATAAGAATGAAAACATTGAAAAGTAAAAACTGAAGAATGGAAAAATCGAAAATTCAAAAGTATCAAAAATCGAAAATTAGAAAAATCTAAGAATTGAAAACTGAAAAATTGAGAAATCAAAAAGGAAACAAAGAGAAAATTTGAATATAGAAAAATGGAACATTCGATTAAAATATTCGAAAAAACGGAAATCTGATAAATCGAAAAACCAAAAATTTGAAAATCTAAAAGACGTAAATAGAAAACTCAAAAATTTGAAAACTGACTTACAAAAAATCGAAAAATCCAAGAGTCGAAATATAGAAAAAATTGAAATATCGAAAGTCGAAAAATCGAGAAATCCAGAAATCGAAACATCAAAAATCCAAAAATCGAAAAGTCGAGAAATCGACAATCGAAAAAATAGAAAAATCTTCCGAAAAGTCAAAATATCGAAAAATAATTAAAACATCGGAAAAACTGAAGAGTGGAATTGAAAATTTGAGAAATCGAAAATTAAAAAAAAATTAATTCTAAAAATTAAAGAGAGAAAATTTTGAAAAATTGGAAATTTGAAAAGTTAAAAATCGAAGAGTACGAGTTGATGATTAAAAATTCGGGTGTAGAAAATCGAATACTTGAGAAATCGAGAAGTAAAGTACATAATTGAGAAATAGAAAAAGTGAAGAATGAAAAAATTGAAAAGTAAAAAAAATGAAAAGTAAAAACTGAATCATGGAAAAATAAAAAAATCGAAAAATGCAAGAATCGAAATATAGAACAAATGAAACATTGAAAGTCGCAATATCGAAAATTGTAAAATGGAAAAACTGAAATTAAAAAATTCGAATACTGAAAAATCGAAAAACCGAGAAATTCAGAAATTGGCGAATAGAAAAATCTAAAATTAAAATATCGAAAATTCGAAATACCGAAAAATCGAAAAGTAAAAATTAAAAAAACTAAAAAATCGGAAAAACTAAATAATGGAATTGAAAATTTGACAAATGGAAAAGTAAAAATTTCAAAAGCCTAAAAACTGAAAAAAAAAATTCGAAAAATTCGAAATTTGAAAAATCAAAAATCGAAAAGTACGAATAAAAGATTGAAAATTCGAGTATCGAAAATCGAATATGTACTCGGGAAATCGAGATGTAAAGTAATTAAGAAATCGAAAAACTGAAGTATAAAAAAATTGGAAAATTCAAAATTCAAAAAATCAAAAACGGAAAAGGAAACAAACAGAAAATTCGAAAATCTAAAAATCGTAGATAGGAAAGCCAAAAAATCAAAAATTCAAAAATTGACTTTCGAGAAATTGAAAAATCCAAAAATGGAAATATGTATAGAGAAAATGAAATATCAAAAGTCGAAAAATCGAAAATTGTAAAATCGAAAAGGTGAAATTAAAAAAATTCGAATACTGAAAACTCGAAAAACCGAAAAATCTAAAATTCAGAAGATCGAGAAATCGAATAGTCGAAAAGTCAAAAAGTGAAGAAATGGACAAATAGAAAAATCTTCCGGAAAGTCAAAAAATCGAAAAGTGAAAAACTAAAAAATCGGAAAACTGAAGAATGGAATTGAAAATCTGAGAACTCGAAAAGTAAAAAAATTTGAAAGGAAAAACAGAAGAACGTAAAAATTGGATAATCGGAAATTTGAAAAATCAAAAATCGATACTCGAGAAATCGAAATGATAAATAAAAGAGAAATCGAAAAACTAAAGAATGAAAAAATTGGAAATAAAAAAAATTAAAAGTAGAAACTGAAGAATGGAAAAACAAAAAAATCAAAAATTCAAAAAATCAAAAATCGAAAATTTGCAAAATCGAAGAATTGAAAAGCTGAAAAATCGAAAAATGTAAAATTCGATGAATCGAATTCGAAAAAACGGAAATCCGAGAAATCGAAAAACCGAAAATTCGAAAATCTAAAATTCGTAAATCGAAAAATCAAAAATTCGAAAATTGACCTTCGAAAAATCCAAGAATCGAAATA